TATATATTTTGTTTTGTTTTTGTTCTTTGGGACAGGGTCTTACTGTGTAGCCCATGCTGGCCTCAAACTCCCTGTGATCCTCCTACGTTAGCCTCCCAAGTGCTAGGATTACAGCCAGGCATGGCTTATATTTTCTTTCTTAACTAGCCAACCTCCATAGCCTTGTGTATAAGAGTCTGTATAATCTGTCCATTGTCATATTTTCTAGCTTCATACGCCCCAACTTGATCCTACCACTTGATGGCCTAGCAGTATAGAACTAATCTGCTTGTAGTTACTAGAATTTGACTTCTGGGAAGATGGAGGAGTGGTGAGCAGCAGAGAAATACTCTCTCTGAGATTTGATGTCTACATACTGGAATATAGCAATGTGAAGAAGGAAAGAAGGAGGGAACTGGGTCCCTGGGACTCAGGGGGGGATCTCTCTCTTTCTCTCTATTTTTTAATCCCAGTTGTTCTTTCCTTTTTTTTTTTTAAATTTTAGAAAATAAAAGAATGAAAACATATTAACAAACACACATACATTTACAAAATAACACAAGAACAGTACAAGCAATACTGAAATTCAGACAAGGTTATAGGAAATTAAAAATGGTTGTTGTATTGCATATTGATTTCTTCAAAGTGGCTACTCAGGAAAACAAATAGACATTTAAGATTGATCAAATAATCATTAGCTGTTCTTTTCAATAAAGTGATAGAAGTCAGTAGTACAACTATATTAGCTATCGTATGTGCATATATATACATAATTTTCCCCTTCTTTTCTTCTTCTCCTCATCCCAGTTGCTCTTTACTTTTGAGCAATTTCCTTTCATTTCATGATGTCTATCATATCTCCTAATTTTATTCACTCTTTCAGGTTCTTACACTAGTGAGATGATATGTTGTTTATACATGTGGGTCTGATTTATTTCACTTATGAGTATGATCTCCAGTTCTGACCATTTACCTATAAAAACCTTGAGTTTAATCTTTCTTTATAGCTGAGTAATACTCCATTGTATAAAAATACCACAACTCTTTTATTCATTCCTCAGTGGATGGACATTTGGGTTGCTTCCACAATTTAGCTATTACAAATTGTGCTGCTGTAGACATGGGTGCACATATATCGCTATGATATGATGTTTTCAGTTCTTCTGGGAAAATACCCAAAAGGGGAATAGCTGGGTTGAGTGGGACCTCTAGACCTAGTTTGCTGAGGAATCTCCACACTGATTTCCACAGTGGTTTCACCAGTCTGCATTCTCACCAGCAGTGGAGAAGAGTTCCTATTTCTCCACAGCCTTGCCAGCATTTGTTATTGATTGATTTCTTAATGATAGCCATTCTTACTGGGGTGAGGTAAAATCTCAGTGTTATTTTAATTTGCATTTCTCAAATGACTAATGATGTTGAACATTTTCTTGTGTATTTATTTACTATTTGTATTTCTTTGTCTGAGAAGTGTGTTTTCATCTCAGATGCCCATTTCTGGATTGGGTCTTTGAATTTGGGAGGGCTGATGTTTTTTAATTCTTAATATGTTCTAGATAGAAGACCTTTGTCCAAGGGACAGTCAGCTAAAATTTTTTTCCCCAGTTTGTGGGTTTTCTTTTTACTCTGCTACAGATTTAGATGTGCTTTTCAGTAAGATGAGATTCCAGTTGTTGATTCTTTGAAGTATTTCCCATGCGGTTTGGCTTTTGTTCATGAACTGTCTGCCTACCCCTATGTCTTCAAGATTTTTACCTACTTTCTCTTCCACTAGATTTAGTGTTTCTGTTTTAATATTGATTGTTAGGTTTTTTTTTTTTTTTTTTTT